GGTCTTCTGCCCCCCATCACAATTCTTAAGGCTTTCTCACCACCCAAAGTTATACTGGTGTTAAACCCCGTATCTTGGGTTGAGTTCCCCCAAACAGTGATGGAGACATAGGCTTGGATGCAGGGAGCTCTTTTGGGAGATGACTCCAGGTCACAGAGTGAAGACCATGAAGCAAGACAGAAGGAAAGCCAATAAAAAGTGTATCTTTGAGTTGGTTACTGTTGTGGGCAACTGAGTCTCATTGTTGCTGGGGCCCTTTGGAAGAACTGTGCAAAACTTGCATCAGAATGGTCCCTCTGCAGGATAGGAGGCTAGGCTATATGCACCCATGTCTATCTTACATTGAAGGTGGCCCCTGGGGCCAGTAATTCTTCTGTGCTTCTCTGCTGACTTTTGTGGCTCTGGGAGCAACCATGGTTTTTGAAAAGTTTTGAGCAGAAAAATGAAGAGACATACCAGGTGCTTGGACAAGCAGTGTACCCCCTGGGTAGAGCATGAGTATATAAGGGATCCCAATTGCCATCATTATATGTTACTGGAAACTTGCTCAGTTGAGCTAATGACAAAGAAAGAGTTATGATGGTGGTTTTTATAAACCCTCTGAATTTGGTTTAGCACCCACCTGCAAATACACTCTCTCCCACTAGATGGTACCAGTATGCCAAAGCCCTGGAATGCTACATTAGGGCCTCATTTTTGATGTGGAATATTTTCCCACTACTTTTGATCAGTTAACGAATAAGCAAGTTGAGATTGGAGGAAAAGATTATGGGTGTTTTGGGGACAGAAGAGTGGAGCTTATCTAAATAAGTACCTTCATTCATTCCCAACAAATCTTACTGACCACCTACTAAGTGGTCAGCTCTCTTCCTGGTGCTAGGGATACGGAAGTGAACAGTGTCCTCAAAGTCCCTGCCTCAATGAACGTCGATACTGGTTGGGCGAGAGACAGTAAAAAATGAACAGGTAGATCCATGACGTCCGTCAGGTGGTGATGAGTGCGGTGAAGGGTGACAAAGCAGGCAAAGGGATTGATGGGGGCAGGGAAAGCACAACCCTTCTCATACCTGCCTGACCTGTTGGTTGATAGGCTGCGAGATTATTTCCATCTGTTCCCTAACCCAGTTCTGCCACTCACCAACCTCTTAGGAGTATGCTTATGAGCTTTATTTTCAAAATGAGACTGTGAACTTGTGGAGGGCAGAAGTGGTGCTCTGCAAATGGGTGTTGACCAACTGGAATCTCCTGCAGCCTAACGCTCGGCTCCACCAACTCTTGTTGGTTGCTTTCATTTGTCTGGAATCACTATGAATTGTTATCGTTGTCGACACACAATAGAGTCACGTTTTACTCGAGGGTTAGATTATAAAGTCAAGGTTTAAGGCAAACACAAGGTCGTCATTAACCTTGAAATCTCTTAAGTTGCCCATTAAATTACAGTGTGTTTGATTTTGTGTATGCAGCCCTGTACTGTAATCAATGTGTAACAATGTATAATGCATGCAATAATATACAGCACATAATAAAGAATATAGGCATGATATAATTTTACAGCATTTAATTGCAGTATTTAAATTGTTCTTTTTCCTTCTCTTTTTGGAGGAAGAGCTCGATTTCCATTAGTTAAATGTGCATATGATAAGACTTTACTGTGTTCATTTAAACTGGTTTTGTAATCATGTAATCCTCACCAGGTTGTGCACTGGGAAGAGCAAGAGCTATGTACTTTGGGCTCTATTCATCGTTGATTCCCACCACCAGTCACATGCTTTGGGGCATAAGAACAGCAGACTAGCAGTAGTGGTAGTAGTAATTGTAGAAGTAGTAGTAGTAATAGAGGCTGACACCTAAGTGAGGCTTACTGTGAGCTGGGCCCTGGGTGAGACTTTAGATGTATAAATCAGCACATTTAGTCCTCCTAAGGACTCTGTGGTATATCTAGAATGAACTTAATTCCATTTCACAGATGGAGAAGTTCCAGAAGAACTTGATAGAAGTCACAAAGCTTTTGATCTCAGGAGCTGAGATTCAAACTTGGGCACTCCCAGATACATAAGGCCACATGTTGTATGATTCCATGAAATAGAAAGAACTATTGCCCCAAATAAGCAAACCCATAGAGACGGAAAGTAGACTGGTGGTTATCTAGGGCTGCAGGGAGTGGGGAAGGAGGAATGATGGCAAGTGGGTGTGGGGTTTCTTTTGGAGGTGATGGAAATGTTCTGGAACTAGATAGTGGTGATGGTTGCACAACTCTGTGAGTCTACTAAAGACCACAGAATTGCATATTTTAAGAGAGTGAACTTTATAGTAAGTGAATTATGTCTCAATAAAACTGTTGTTAAGCTGAAAAACAAGCAAACCTTGGGCAGTCCAACCTCGGGGCTCCTGCATGAGCCATCCCTGAACACATGCCACCCTTCCTACAGGTACTTACCACTTGCTAGTGGCATCCTGCTTGTTTACTTATATTAACTTGGCTGTTCCTCGAAAGGACCCTATCATCTGCCCCATTTCAGAGATCAGAAAACCAAGGCAGAGAGATGCTGAGAAACTTGGAGCTAGCAAGTCACCCAGGGAGTTCTGGCCCTGAATTGGCTTTTGATTCACCATTTCTATACCGTTTTCACATGTTTCACTCGTAAAGGCAACCCTAGTGATTCAGAGTTGCAAGTGACTTTGGCCCATTAGAAATAAAACAATGATTCTTTGCTTTTGTTTTGCTGATTTGCAAAGTGAATTAAGATCCATCTTTGTCTCATCGGTTATTATTCCCATTTGGCCCAGATGTCTCTGGTATAGGGTCCTGGCAGTAAGACCCAGGGACTATAGGAGAAGGAGGTGTTTAAAGTGGCTGACTCTTAAAAATAATAATCATAAGTGGCTCAAGAAGAGAGAGGGAAGATGGGGAGGGGGAAAGAGGGAAGGGAGAGAGGTGGAAAAATGGGAGAGGGAATGAAAGAGGGAGAGGGCAAGAGAACTGAATTGACATGCTGTCATTGTATTCCAGTTGATACCAGATTGCTGAAAGGATTTACCCAAATTAGCAAGAATGTTTGGCACCCCTTGACTGGTTGGGTTGAAGATTTTCATAGGCTGGTAATGAGAAGGCAATCTAAAGCCTAAGGCTCATACTCCTTATACTCCACACTCATTATCTAAATCAAAGAACCCCTATTCCAAGCACACTCCTCCATCAGCACTTGCCACTCATCCCAGAACTTCGTTGATTCCCAGGCCCCCTAAGCATGGATTTTACTCCTCTCTGACCTTAACCTTAGGTTGCTGATTTGCATTTCTCATTCATGTTTAACATTCAGAGTGACAAAGCTCTTAGTCATGTGTGGTGCAATAGGAAAGGGCAGCAGGGCTTGCCCCCTGACCAGCCCAGGATGCCTGTTTGTGATCGTGGGAGGTGAGGATTTATAAAAGCACAGCTAAGGGACTGGAAATGCCTTCCTGGGTCTATAGTCTAGAGGAGCAGCCATAGTTTGGGCTGGGACAGGAGCTGTGGAAGGAAGGGGCTCTGGCTGAGACCTGGTCTCCTATGGGGCCAGCTCACAGGTCTGCTGGGCTCACTGTAATTCTTAAAGCCTTCTCAGGTGATAACAGGGGATCACACAAAGCCACATGAGTGTCTGATTCAGCCCTTTTGCATTGCTTTTCCAGCGCACTGTTTTGTAAAGTGTATTCTGAAGAGATACTGTTTCTATGGGAGGTTAATAAGAGTTCTGGAAAACATAGGTTGCATGAGCTAGTATTTTGGGAAATTCTGAAGTTACCCAGAGAAGTGAACCAGCTTGTGTTTTGTTTTTCACAACTGATCATTTCTGAGACTTTAATGTGCATTTAGTTTCAAAGAGGTGCTCCCCAAGCCTGCATTTCAAGCACTCTTCCCAAACTCCCAGGGGTAAGGGAATTCTTACAAAGAGGACGTCATGAGATAGCAATTCACAGGACACAGGTGGGAAGACAAGCTGTGTGGACTCTGGGGTCTCAGAACTTGGGGCGTGCCCACCAAGACCAGCAGAGATAGCACCACCTGGGAGCCATTAGAAATGCACATTCCCTCTCCAGGTCCTGCGGACTCAGAGCTCCTAGGGTGGCCCTGGCCATCTGTGTCTTCTCACGCTGGCCCTCCAGGGGACTTCGACGCCCTCTGAGATTCACAAACTGCTGATCCAGTGTGCTGTGAGGGAGAGAGAGCTCCCTGATGTTCTCTTGGGTGAAGTAGGGAAACAAAAGCTCAGACCAGGAATGTGGCTCCCCAGAAGAAAACAGAGACTGTAAAATAAAAACCAGTGAGACACAGAAGTAGGGGCTGACGGTTCTGCTCGGTACTATTATGACCGTGGATGTTTGCTTCCATGAGACCCTGAGCTGGGTTTGTGTGCTGTCCGCACAGGCAGATCCAAAGACCTGGGGTGAGGACAGAAGAGACATTCGGGACAGTCTGCGGAGAGAAGGCAGAACCCTTGTTAGGTTTTTAGCTGAAACTCTTTTAGAAAAAGATAGATTCATAAGAGAATAGCCAACAATGTATTAACACATACAACTCATATATACATAGGAAATACCCAGCGGATGTGAGTAACTAACTCTAAGAGGTGGCTTAGAACTCCAGTTTAAAAACTGTCTTAAACTAAAGACAAGAGAGAGAAAGGTATATGGGAGGCCAGTTATGGGGAGGCAACCAGGAAAAGCAGGGTAAACAAGAGTAAGATTTGTTCTGCAGATTTAAGTCAGTGCCTTCTCTGTTGATAAGGATCCCAAATTGTCTCTGGAGATTAACCTTTGTCCTTGGGGAGGGAGAGAGGACTTCTTTGTAAAGTTATGTCCTGCTTTTAGGTAAATAGGAGGAAGGCAGTAGGCTTTTTTTTGTAACCAGTCCTTCTCAGCTGCCTTTAGCTCAAAATAATCCTCATGCCCAAGTGGTGTATTTTGGGGTGGCTTATGCTGCTACCCTTCATTTGACTTGGCAGCTACCTCCTTTGATTTTACATGTATGTGTGTATAATGTATAGTGAAGACAACTGGTAGCAAGTACAGTTTTTCAAAAGGTAAAAACCCTGACTCTGAGGTAAATATAACCATTAATTCATTAGTTTATGAGGAAACCAGTAAGATCTGATGATGGTTTCAAAGGACATTTAAGAAGCTAGAGTTTATGAGCAATTTGACAAAGAAATGTTAAGAAGAGATTTTTGAGTTAGGAAAAAAAAACTAGTTAATATACCACATGCCTTAATCTTTGGGGTTATCTGTTACACTAGACAGAAATTATTTGCATCTCTACTTGGACACAATCATCAAAGATCAAGGAACTGGCAACTTCTCTAAATCCAGAGCCTTCAATCAAGAAGAGCAAACAACGCGGTGAACTAAGAGCATGGTCCTAGATATCTTCCTATGGCCTTTGGCCCTGAATGATATTCAAGGATTGCCATCAGTCATTTTGGCCTAGTTTACAAACTTTGGATAATTTTTTCTGATGCCTCAAACATATGACATTTAATTTACTCTTGCTGCCTTACTAGAAATGGACTGTGAAATGTGGCACAAAGAAATGGTGGTCAGTTGAGGGCTAGAAATTCGTGGGAGGAGAGGTTATAGGAGGTCAAGGTGGTAGTATGTAGAGATGCCGTTTGTTACCTGCCTTTGATGAAATGTGCTCTGTGCTAGAGGCTTTCATTCAACCCTATCAGGTAGGTCTTACCATCACCCCCACCTACAGATGAGGAAACTGAGTCAAGGAGAGTCAGGAATACTAGTTGTGGACACGGGCAGAGTAAGAAGAAAATGGTGTAGGATCAAGACCATAGTAGGGGAAATAGAATTTAGCCAGACAGTGAAGGGAGGGAGGGTGTTACCAGCTGGAGGGAAGCATAGCCCAAATTTGAGATAGAAATACTCATAACATGTTCAGAGGGCAACGAGGAGGCTGTTCTGAGTGACAGTGAATGTGAAGGCAGTATGAAATTGGATCACTGCTACAGGAATGTCAGCTAATAATAGTATCAGTGTTATTTTAGCCAAAGGATTCTGATATCACTGTCGGGCAGTGCCTGGCAGTACACTGTGTGGGTTAAGGGCTCAGGTCTTCGGGGAAGGTGGAAATACTGTTTGAATCCCAGCTTTGCCACAGCAGAGCTATGTGGCCATGGACAAGTTGCATAACCTCTCTGTGCCTAGGTTACCAAATCTATGAAATGAGGGCAATATCTGCCTGATATGGTTGGGCTGGGGATTCAAGACAACCTTATTAAGTCTTGGTCTCGCAAACAATGAGCCTTGGAAAATGGAAGTTGGTTCTTGAGAAGGTGAATGAACAGGATTTAGCAGACCTTGGTTGTTAGCCATTTGTCTGTAAGTGTCAAAGTCTCAGTCTGAGTTCCTTCAAGACCAGATTCTGAGAGGAGAATTTAATTGCAATTAATTCATCTGAGAGGTGATCCAGGGAGAACTGTAGGGTGGGTGGGGAAGCAAAGCAAAGTAAAGAAGGAAGAGCAGCCACATAAAGGGTCTGTTATGCAACCAATGGGACTGCCGGTGACTGGACCTTTGGGAGCCACTGTGTAATACCTCAGTTATCCCACCTGAGGGGCAAGGAAGCTCCGGACTTTATGCCACAAATCTCTGTGGGCGTCGTTTTTGGACTGCCCCAGATGGCATTGATTTTGAGCACTACTGGAATGCTGTGTGTGGCCTCTGGT